CAATCTTATTCTTTAAACAAGTCCTAAAATTAAACATTATGGTATTATGTTGATAACCTTAGTTCTAAAAACATGGCTGTAACACTACGCTTTTTCACCCTGATGTTTTAACAAATAATGATTTAGCGTATTTATTATAAAATTATTAATGATAACATGTTGTTATAATATTAAAATTAATTCATAGAGCAATATCATATAAACTAATACTTTAGTCAAATGCCAACTCATTTTTAGACAGTGAAAATGTAAAAAAATAAATAATAATACTATTAAAATAACTTTACCGTAACAATGTTTGATAAACCATTTCTTATAATCTAATGAAGTCACCAACAAAATCAAGTTATTAACCTGCTACACTTATTTACAGAAATTAGTTCAACATAATTTTTGATCTTTGTTTTAGATTAAAAATCCTTGAAACACATTGGTTTACTTGGCTACTTGCGTTACTTGAAAAACATTAATTTAAAAAGAATATTCATTAATTGTTTTCAGTAAATACTAAAGAAAAAAACGATATAGAAAAATTAAGATATTAACCGAAATAGAGATATTAGTATTATATCATCAGCATAAGTAATAATATTTAAAAAGACTTTTCCTATAAGCTCAATTATAGTACTCAACTAAAAACTTCAATTTACTTCATACTTAAAATAATACTTATGTAAGGACCAAATAAGTAAATTATAATGATGATATGCAACGATGTCATGAACTTCCAATCAACTTATGCAAAAAGTTAATAAACCAACGTTTTGATCAAATTAATTAATTTTTTGATTAAAAATAAAAGTTAAAAATTTGATGGATTTTCATCAGATATAAACCTCAGATGGATTTTCATCAGATATAAACCTCAGATATGATAAAAATGTTTATGATGGATTTTGATCAAATTAAATCTGATAATTATTCTTTTCTAAAAACATTTTCTAAATTATTAGTTTTAAAGAGGTTGGACTAAACCAATTAAATTTTATTTAGTTCAACTTTTTTAATTTAATTAATTTAATCCACTTAAATTTACTTTCTTAGTTCAACTAATTCATTTTTGATAATTTAGTTTTAACATCTTAGTTAATTTAATTTGCTCAGTAATATAAGGTTCCATTTGTAATTTTTCCATCAATAATTTGTAACGTTGTTAACGGGTTAAACTTAAAATTATTATTTGAATAAATGAAAATTTTACATTTAATAAGAGTACCTTTAAAAGCACCTTGCATAAATCTTGTTACTAAAGTCCAATAAAAAGAGGTACTAAATCCAAACAAAAGTGTTGAAATAGTTTGAAATATTCCTGAAATCAATAAAACTGTTTTAGGATCTATCTTGTCCAATAAATATCCCCAAAGTAATCTAAAATTAAAATACTTAGAATAAATAACTATGTGAACAAATGTTAAATATTTTAAACATTTTAAATTAAATAACTATGCAAAATAAAATGCATCTATCTGCATATATATATTAGGGTTAACTTTTTATAAAGTGAATAAAATCCTGTGTCATAAATCTGCAGGCAGTAGCATTATATCTTTCAGAAGCCTAGAACTTTCTTGACCTTTCTAGAGGTTTTGAAATTTCTGAGGTCTTCTAGAAGTTTATGGAAATAAGCAAGATTTAGACTATATAAGCTGCCTAATTAAGCAACACTAATAATTAATTTTATTTTTTATTTTTTTGACATCTTTGCTTCCAAGGCTGCAAACAACCTCTTATGCAATATCATTGCATCAGAGTTCTGTTCCAGACGCAGTCTCAGTTTAATGAATCTGAAAAAATTATAACTATTTTAAATTAAAAAATGCATTGAATAGTAGAGTATTAAGTAAGTTAGTAAGAGCAAATAAATTCAAAAATTCCTCTTCTTAAAAGAAATAATCTTTCAACAATAGCCTAAAAAAGATAAAAACTAAAACAAAATAAACTTAAGTCCAGAATATATGGTGACCATACAACCAGACAGCTAGCCCTGACATGGCAACAAACAGTATTATGTGCAAGTATAATTAAGCAGTTAGTCAACACAAAAAATAGTTTTAAAAGCATTGTATCATTGTAAATCCTTTGTGTTAAAAAGAAAACTTAAGTGACTGAGTGTTCTTCAAATGTGTTTAACATATGTGCATATTCAAATTATGATGCTAAAGTAAAAAAATTCTTATAAAAACAAGTTAGGAACTCTAAAACCTGTTAAGCAACATAAATATTAACTTAAGTAGAAAATGTTTTAGCTACTGCAAGTCAAATAATGTTTTTTCATATTTTTTTTTTTTTTGAATGTTTCTTAAGTGGTTGAGCTACAAATTTTAGACTAACCACTCCAAATTTGAGGTGCATTCTTACAGAAAGATTTCGAGCCTAAAGAAGTTCTTAGTCTGTGCCAGTATACATATATATATATATATATATATATATATATATATATATATATATATACATATATATATATATATATATATATATATATATATATATATATATATATATATATATATATATGTATATATATAAATATATATATATATAAATATATATATATATATATATATATATATATATATATATATACATATATATATATATATATATATATATATATATATATATATATATATATATATATATATATATATATATATATATATATATATATATATATATATATATATATATAAAGTAGTAAAAAATTACTTAACAAAATTTTTTCTCATTTAACATCAGAAAATCTTTATTGATGAAACACAGTGTTAAATGAGAAAAAATTTTGCTAAGTGATTTTCTACTACTTTGTAATTGCTCTGTTCTTTTAAGAACATTGAGCACTCTTTTTGTAGAATACATTTTAAATTGTTTAAAAATATATATACATACATATATATATATATATATATATATATATATATATATATATATATATATATATATATATATATATATATATATATATATATATATATATATATATACAACAAACAGATTGATCGATTGCTTGACATTCAAACCACTCCAGCTTCTGTATCTAAAGTGATTACCTTCTTAGACTCTTCTGCAGTTTGTGATCTGAACAACATACCTGCTAAGCTCTTGCAGAAGTGCTAAGTGCTTATCAGAGTCTTGTTTTCCAGCCTGCTGGAAAGCAACATCTTTTATCCCTATTTTCAAATATTCTGGAGAGTGATCTGACTCATCTAACTACCATCCCATTAATCTCTTCTTATCATAAGCAAGGTTTTTTGTATATATATATATATATATATATATATATATATATATATATATATATATATATATATATATATATATATATATATATATATATATATATATATATATATATATATGCCTAGTTTAGGACTAACGGTGACCAGGGTTGCAAAAAAACATAGGTTTTTTTAGAAAATTAAAATAAACCATGGTTTTTTTGGTCTAAACAGAGTTTTTACTAAAAAAAGCTGTATTTAGTTATCCTTTTAAATTAAAAAAAGCATAACGTATTTTATTTGAGTAAACTATATTTTTATCAATATTATTGTTATATTTTATCAAAATTATTTAATATATCATTGTTTAATGTTTTATATATAAATACAAGCTTTGCTGCTTTTTCTACCCCCAATCGGTTTCTTAACTTGAATGAACAAGACCAGAAGTTAAAAAAATTCTTTTGATTCCAGCACTAGAAGATGTTGCATTTAATAAACCTTCAATTTCCATTATGTTATAGTAGATTTGGCTTTTAATTTGAGTAATATTGGTAAGAAATTCTTGAACTCTTTATCTGCGAAATTCATGTCAGCTTCAATTTCATTTTCAGAAAGATTAGATCCAAAATATCTAGGATCTAGTGTGTTTGCCAGGAAATGAGCATCACTGACAGTCTGAAGGTATCTAGATTCAATTTTTTTCTTTTTTCGTTTGATAAAAATGATAAACTGTTCATCAAATCTTTAAAAATTATGAGTCACTTATTTTTGTCTCTTTGCAACTCATCTAGAACTACTATAATTGGTTTCAATATTTTCAATAAATCTTCTGTGTTTCGCTTTATCTGTATATCACTTACTAAATCCAAGTCTTTATTTTTTTCAAACATTGTAAAAATAATGCTCCAGTTGTTGATATATTTTTCAAGTGAATCACATACAGAATTCCAGAGAGTTTCAATAGGAAGTGGTAATTTTGTTGCTCCGCTTAATTTATAAATTGCTTCAGCTTGATGATTATTTCTTATATATTTTATTATTTGTGTAACATGCTTGCTCACATTTTCAATGTTAATATCATTTGCTAAAAGATTCAGCATATGAGCAGCACACCCATAAGTTATGATAATATCTCTTTCAGATGACAATACTTGTCTCATTGATTTCACATTACCTGCATTGTCATTCACAAAGCTTTTTACTGTGCATCCAAATTTACGTCTTACATAATCTATTGCTTCTCTTGTTAATTGTGTAAGATATTCACCAGTATGCAAATGACCAGAAGTGTTGATTGTTTCTACTAAAATGTTAATTTTATCTGTAACAACAGAGATACAAACTATAGGTTCAATATGTACATAACTTCAGCCATCTAAAGACATGACTACAATTTTCCCATTCAATACATTACATTTTTCAACTTCTTCTGTGTAAACCCTATCGAATAATTCTCCTCCAATTTCAGTTCTATTAGGTACAGTGTATCCTGGATGAAGCATATTGATAAATAAATTTAAAAAAAAAAAATAAATAAATAATGGATTTAAAAAAATATATCTATATTGAAGATTAGTTATATTTGTGAGCATAATCCTGTCTTGGTTTCCTGTAAGTTCAAATCTTTTTAATAAAACATTAGTTCGGTTTAAACCAATATTTTTTTAATTGGTTTAAACCATGGTTTAAACCATTTGGTTAAAACCATGCAACCCTGGCAGGGACAGATTTTGCAAAAAAACGAGCACTTACGGGGACATTAGCGCCATCGGGGACATTTTAGTGCATCCCTTAATTTTTTTTCTCTGTAAGCATGATTTTTTTTGCAAAACAATGTACCCGTAAGAAACTTTTATAGAGAACGAAAAGTACATACATCGACTGACAAATAGCCTGACTCGCAAGGGAGTGCTGCTACATCGACTGAGGGTTTGGTTAGGCCAGGCATCAAGGTCAGACTTAGGGTTAGGGTTACGGCAAGGTTTAAATTTGGTTGTATTAGTGTAATTAATTGTTTTTGTAAATAGATGAAGTTAAAAATGAAATATAATATACAATAAATAAATAAAAATAACAAATATTAATACAAAAAACATATTTTTTTAATAAAATAATAAATTTAAATATGTATAAATAAAAATAAAACAAAAATTAAAAAAAATATATAAATATGATAAAAATCGTATAAAAAAAGTAAAAAAAACAACAGAACAGGAACAAAAATAACATGTCCCCGAAAATATCTTGTATGCTACATATATATATATATATATATATATATATATATATATATATATATATATATATATATATATATATATATATATATATATATATATATATATATATATATATATATATATATATATATATATATATATATATATATATATATATATATATATATATAGAGAGAGAGAGAGAGAGAGAGAGAGAGATGCATGTATATATACATATATATAAATGTATGTATATACATGCACATATATTGAGTTCTCCAGAAAATCCTTTAGATTTTTTTGCAACAGATATTTTTAGTAACGTTTTTAACATGTCTGAGTATTTCTAATAACAAATTTGTTTTATCATTTAATTGTGTAGATTAATATTTACTTTAAAGAAAATTCAAGGTGATCAATTGTATTACAACTTTTTGATATCATTTTTTAATTATTTTGAAAAGGCTAAAAAAACAACAGAAGAAAACGAAAAATGTGTATGGTATTATATGCATTAACAGAACGCATTTGTCAAAATTTGTTTGCAAAGTCTTGTTTAGGAAATTTTTCAGGAAACACATCTATGAGTTTGATAAACGCTGACTTGATTAGTAGAAAACAACTTATTAAACATTTTTTATTTTATACTGTGTTTCATCAATAAAGACTCATTGATTTTATCATTCATCAGAAATGAATGATCAAATAAAAAAATAAAACTACATTTTATACCAATAATTAAATTACAGGAAGTCATAAATATATTTATGACTTCCTGTATTTAATTCCTGTATTGACACTATTATAAAAAAAATCCATTAGAATTGTTTAAATCTGCTTTTATTTATATAATATATAAAAAGTTTAATATATATATTTTATGTATATTATATTTTACATATATATATAATATATATATAAAATATTTTATATATATATATATATAATACCTTACTTCCAGACACAGAGCAAACTCCAGATATTTCTATGTTTATACTTATATCAAATAAGGATGATTTGCAAAAAATTACGATGATTGGAGCATGGGAACAAAAAAGCCCTAAAATCTTAGCTACTCCTGCCCCAAACGGGAAAACCCTGACAGAAGCAACAAGTTCATAAAATACTTTTTTTTACTATTCTCAACCTAGTTTATATTCCTCGATAAATTTTAAAACTCATAGAATTACCTTTTAGAGTTTAACAATTATGGCCTTATAAAATTTGCAAACCCCTCAAATTGAGGTGGGTTCAAACTTTTTATGGTCATAATTTTTAAACACTAAAATATTTTTGTGTGAAATTTAAAATTCATCGATGAATATAGGTTTAGTTAAGAATAGTATAGATATCATTTTATCACTTGTTGCTCTCACGTTTGGGGCAGTTGTAGCTAAAATTTTAGGGCTTTTTTGTTCCCAGGCTCCAATCACTGCAATTTTTTGCAAAGCATTCTTATTTGATATGACTATTAACATATAAATTTTTGGAGTTTTCTCCATGTCTGGAAGTTAGGTATTTCAAACATAAAAAAATGCTGCATCCACACACACACACACACACACACGGCTTCGGCCCAGCTTCGGCTCGGCTCCCAGCTTGGCTCCGGCTCCCGAACTTTATGAACAAAAATTGCAAGTTTTAGAATATTTTTTTTGATCACATTTGCTAACCTAAAACTATACCAATTATAGCAATTAATTTTTTATTTTTTTTTTAATTTAATTCACCTCCTCAAGGCCGAGAAGGCCACTACAGACGAGGAGGCTACTTATTTGTGGTTATAACCCTCTCTCAACTCTATAACTCCGAAACACGAACCTTGATGAACAAGGCCGCTGCGGGGAGAAACGAGTTGAGCGCGGTACTACCAGGAATGTGGTGGGGATGGGAATTTTTTACCAACTCTCATGATTACAAGTTTATTGTATTAGTATCACTACTCTAATACCAAATATTATATTTGAAAAGAAAAATAATTTGAGTGAATAAACACTTTTTTCTATATATTATTTACCCAAAACAAGTTTTTAGTTCAAATTTTATTTCTAACTCTACCTAGGAGCACGTTACCTAAAAAAAGGCGCCTTTTGAACGTCCCAAAGACGCCCAAAACGTTCAAAAGGCATCGAGATATTCAAAAAAAATTTTAAATGAAGTCTTTCTTACGTCCTCACTGAGTCCCATGCCCACTGGATACCCAGTGGGCATGGGACTTAGTAAAAGACATTTTGAACGAACAAAAGACCTTCAAAACGCTTCAAAGACGTTTATAAGACCTCTTTTGTATGTCCTGTACCCACTGGGTAAAACATGCCATTGTTAAACTCAAAACTATAAAAAATTCCAAAAAAATGAAAAATAATTTACCAATGCAAACACTATAAAAAAATATTTATTTTAATCTAAGGAACTTGAAGATTATAAAAGTGCTTTTTATTTTAATATTTTTCATTATTTCATATAAATAAGCAAACATTTACGCTAATCAACAACATCAACCTTTGCACAGTGTCTTTGAGAATTTTTAATTAACTAATGTCCACTCTCTAATCAAATCTTTAGTTGTATTTATTTTTTTTCCAGTCTTACACAAATATCCTTTGCTAATTCTCCAAAATTTTTCAATGGAATGGAACTGCGTGCAGATTGATGGATTCAAGCTTTTTGATATGAATTTGGTGTCTCTCGAACTGTAGCACTTTCTTCAAATAATGACAAGAGCAAGATTAGGCCAGAATTAATAGGGGACATTGTGATTTCGATTTTCGAGTTTGCTCCATGTCTGTAAGTAAGGTATTACTTACAGATAAATTGGAAAAGCCTAGCGTGCAAGTATTCTTTGATGTAAATATCCGAGTTTAAAGTTGATGATGTGACAAAAATTTGAGATCTCAAACCTCAGCTGCATTTTGCTTGCTAAAATTTTTTTTTTAAAAACTCTAAAACTTTATACCTTTTGGGTCATTCTCAGTTTGATATGCTGGGATTTTGCGTGAATGATTGTCAAATACTAATTGCTGCTTTCTTATCCTTAAAGCCATTCTTTCTTCCAGATCCTTTTGCTCGTTTGATAGATAGAGATCATTTGTATTGTTTTATGACAATAGTTTTGCTAGATTCAGATCCTTTAGCAATTGAAAGTAACAATGCAGGAGGATTTTGTAGATAGTTGTGCAAATTTTTTTTCGTTTTTCTAAATGTTTCAATGACATTTTAATTAAGAGAAACATTTTGACTTGTTGGTTGATGTTTTTAATTTATACTGTAATTACTTAAAAAGACTACCAAGTCCCGAGACAATTTGTGTTCATATTAAAGTGAATGTTAAAAAAAAAACATCTGAGCAAATTTTTTTTGATTAAAACTAATTAATAAATGTATACCAAGTAAAGCAAATCTTGTTGTTTTAGTCGAAGCTTGTCGTCTCCGTTTTCTTTGGTATTTTGAGTATGTAAAATAAACGCGATTTTCCAGGCGCATTATACAGACTTGATAATTTATTCAAGCGCGTTTAATTCATAGGAGTTTTAGAGCATGACGTCATAGATTTTTTTTTTGTTTGTTTAAAATACCGATTTTTATCTTTTACATAGAATTTCCAAATCATATTCATTTTTATTATATTTTAAAGTTCTAAAATGTGTTTGTAAAACAAAATTAAAAACAAAATAAAATTAAAAACAAAATGTTTTTGTAAAACAAAATTAAAAACAAAATAAAATTAAAAACAAAATAAAATTAAAAACAAAAATAAGATAAAAAACAAAATAGTATTATTTTTGCGCAACTTTTTTAAAATAATCGTCTAGACCACGTGTATTTTGATTTTTTTTGTTATAAGTTTTTCTTTCAAAATATTAGATAAAACCTAAGTAATAATGCACTTTTATTAATTTACTTTGTAAATATTAAAAAAAAAAAATTATTAAGGCATTTTTTCTCTGATTTTCAAAAATGTGTTTTTTGGTATTGAGGTGATCTTATTTATATTTCAATTATAACATCCAATATATATTATGGCGGGGGCTTATTAAAAAAAATTAATATATATTAATTTTTATTTTACAGACATACATGGAAACATAATTAACTTGAATGTTCTTAAAACATCTTGCGGAAGAATAAAAATAATATTCGCGAACACTAAAAACCCGCCAAATTTGCTAACAAATTAATTCTATTGGTTCAAAAAACAGGCTGACTAAGCGAAATAAAGTTCTAAAGTATTCTGTTGAAATGTTTTAGAAATTGTATTATTTACGATTTGTTGCATTTTGAGATATCTTGCATAAATTTTTTTAAGAATATATTATCAAATGAACGATTACTTTAATTCTAGGAGCCATATCTGTAAAGCCGTAAAACTTTTAAGCTATTATCATTTGTTTACAAAAATAAATGTTTTATAATATACATTTTTTAAATTGTCAAAATTTTGAAAGTTAATTACAAATTATATATTTTATTAGTATATTATTAATTTTTATATCTTTTCTTAGTGCTTGGTTTAATTAATTGTTTGTTAGATTTGTAAAAAACTAACGAACAATTAATAAAATAAA